TTAATAATTGTCTATTAACTAACATGACATATTTGTATAGTATTCATTACCTCCAGGTACAGATTAAGCATCTGATGTAGCCATATGAAGTGACATGCGTACATGAATCTTGGGCATAATAGTGAATAAACTGACATTACATTCACAGTAATTTGTTCCAATATGTAAAACATGTTGTTGCCTACATTTGAAAGGACTTGTAGGAATGTTGCAATGAACTCTGAGGAAAAATGCGTAACTGAATATTGTTCTCTCTTATATGGATCTGACAGCTTTGTGAGGCTTCTTTGTAGACTGCAGGTAACATCATAAATATACATGTTTGTTTTCAGCTGCATGAGAAGCAGCTTGGATATAGATATCTAAGCTTTTCAGACATTGGCTTGGTCTTTAAGGTTAAAAATAACCCACTCAACCACCTAACACAACCAATTTTATTAAAAAAAAAAATCATATAAATACTGAGTAATGTAGTATTTTAGTATTGTGAATTTGGGAGTATTTCTATTAGCCTGAGCTTGTTAGAATATGCAGCATCGGTAAGCTAGCTTGTCACCAAAGTAAGAGCAACTTCTTTCACTTTGTTTTCTCCGGCCTAAAAATGAGGCACTTATTTGTACAAGCAAAACTGTCACAGTTCTGGCAGGGTCTCTACCTTCCCCCTTCCTCTCCTCCCTCCCTTGGAGGAGACCCACAGAAGTGTTTGAGCACTCCACAGTGTGTTAATGGCTTTTTAACCTTTTTTCCTTCCATGAAACAGGAATACATTCTGTATTTTAGAGCTGGAAAAATAATGTACAGGGTACACTAGACACCACCGACCTCAGTGTGACTGCAGGTGACAGAGCTGGGGGTTGAACCTGGATGGTTTTCCTCCGATTCACTAGGTGCTCTTACCACCTTTCAACATCATCTCTGCTGCACACAGCTGTAATTTTTCCCTGTTCGGAGATGTCATTGAAAACTGTCTTGTGACTTTGCTTCCTTCTGCTGGTGGTATTTTTACAATATGCAGCAGAGCTGCAATGACAGTTTGTTCTCTTGGGATCTTGTCTCTAGGACTGGGATGTGTTTATGCCACACCAAAAACTGAAATTAAAAATCTTGGCTTGACTTTTGACTGAACACTGCTCCCTTAAAGTGCCCCTCTCTCAAGAGTTTAAAATTTTGAATGTGAGTAGTATGAAGCCATTGAATTTGAGAAGGGAGCATGTATTCTGCCAGGAACAGCTCACTGAGCCTGACACGAATTTGGTGGAAATGAAGGTGTCTGCTGACCCCTCTGATCTTTGTATCAGGGACTGTAGAATAGCTCTGAGTAACTTTAAAACCCTTGTCGGTACCTGTGATCCAGACTTGCAGATCACATGCTCCAGATGCCTTGGAGACTAGGAGTAAGGTGGTGATGGTCACTTAGGTGAAGGAAGAGCCTTGTGAGCTGTGCCTCTGTATCAACTTCACTCTTGCCTTTCTAGAGTTGGTATTTAATTCTCAGTCCAGCCACTGGAGAGAGCTCTAGAGATCTTAAAACAGGTTTCAGGAACAACCTCTCAACAAAACTAGCTGTACAACAGGCGTGGGACTACATCAGGACCTCCACAATGTCTTCTGCTGCAAAGATCAGTGAGAGTAACCGATCTCGTGTCAGGTGTATATGAAGGCTCTAGGAATCAAGAAAGGACAATGGTGTATTGCTTTGGCAAAGTTCCTGATTTGATTTAACTCTGAGGATATACCAAAAGCAGGACTGCTGCAGTTGTGCCCTCCTGGGACTGGTTTTAAGCCAGATGGTGCTCTCGGTACCATGAAGGTTGTTTTCCAGTGGTGCAGAGCCACGCAGTACTTCACCTAGCTTATGAACAGGCTCTGTTAGCTGTTGATATCCAGGTTGACTGGTAATATCTATGCTGATAGTTAGCCCTTCTGGGCTGCATGTGTTTCTGTCATTTCCCTTTCAGAAGGAAAGAGGGGTGCTGGGGGTTCAGAGAAAGGCAGGAACTTCAGGATATGGCTGACATCTTCCAGCCTCCCCTGTGGAGGAGTGTTCCCAATATTTAAAAAAAAAAAAAAAGTTTCTAGTTAAGGCACTTATGTTGGAGAAGGGGGGGTGTAGGCTGATGCAGTACCCTTTGCTAGAATTGCTTCTACAGGGATGCATTTAATATTCATTTGTCTTTGTATTTGTCTGTGGCTTGACTGAAAAGTGGCACTTTTTGCTTCCCCTCAGAAGAGGCTCACAGAGTTTTCTCGGGGTAGGCTGAAGACTTTTGCAGTGAAGAATCTCCAAAAATAGCAAGATGCAAGCAGTTGCTGCCCAACTGGAAGGATTGTAATAGAAAGCAAGGAGTGGGCTGGTGGTATTCTAAACCAGAGTATTTAAAGTCTCAAAAGCAGTGTGGTGGACCTTCTGTGCAGGAAGGGGTATATGAGATGTAAAGGAGAGGATTTGTGGCCTGGGGCCAGACAAGGTCAACCTGCTGCCCAACAGGAGTTTGCTCAAGAGGAGTCTCTGAGAATTGAGGAGCAGAGGACCCTCCAACATGTCCCTTGTGTCAGCTGGAGAGCCCAGAGTTAGGCACTTCTTAAATAAGCTCTTGGACATTAACAGAGGTGCCTGTCACAGTTCATTCTGATGCGCAGATGGCATCTGAACTTCAAGTGTTTTCACTTTTGGTTCTCCAAATAGTTTATTACAAAAAGCCAAGTAGTAAGTACATCACACTCCACAGCTTGGTCTGAAGTACAAAACAAAACCATGAAAGACCAGTGGTTTGATGCAGCTGTGGAGGACAGTAGCTAAAAGAGTTAGTGCTCATGCCTGTATAAACTTAGTTCAGAGTGAGTTCCCCAATGCAGTCCCAGTCTGGACTGGAATGACCTAGGCTGTCTGTTGCCTTCTTTGATTTTAAACCATTATGCACTTTGAGAGAACAACCTTTTTCATTTAACTTGGATGTGGTAGCAGCTGTTGCTTTAGATATGTTCAGTAACTGGTCCAAGAGCCCCTGGCCCTTGAAGAGCTGTACTGAGTCGCTCTGATAAACTGGTGTAACGCTACGTGAAATTTAAGAAGTCTGAACTGGCTGTCTTAACAAACAGGAGCCCAGTCTAAGCTTTGGCTTTGGATGTGATATTACAGCATAACATAGCTTTTTGGGTCTGCACTGGGCATGGTGGGTAAGAATTTAAGAATAAACGAATTCATAACTGTGTGAAACACGGGCAACTTGGTGCTTCCGCCCTATTGTAGCATCTTCCATCTCCAACAGCTTCCAAAGCAGGCTGAGGAATTTGTGCTGTCTGCTTCCTTTTTGAAAGGGAGTGAACAGGATTGGGATACCTTTGTTTTTAAAGGTAAAACTTCTAGTCTAATGACTATTTAGAGAGAAAATACTTTCACCTCAATAAAGTTCTTTGAATTATAAAGGACATTGCTGTTGGGTTACTGAAAACCCTTGGGGTTTGTTTCATTTATAACATTGCCTCGGGCCTTCTGCTGCATCCTGTTGGATTGACCTCCTTTTCAACCCGTGCTGGCAGCTGCATTGCAGAGCTATCTTTTCCCTGGATCCTTCAGGGTTGTCATATGACAAACTTGAACTGTGACCCCTTTGTGTCTTACCAGGACAGCAGTGCCCTCTCTGTGTGATGTGGCCAGCAGTCTTCCCCACGCATGCATTTGTTCCAAGCCATTTAACAAACTGAAAGTTTCAAATGATGGCATTTCATAGTGTTTAATAGTATTGACTGTAAAGCAAATGAAATGGTGCTGAATACCCTGCATGCTGCTAGTAAGAAATACAGCTTCCATTTCTGCAATATGCCCTGGGTTTTCTGTGGTTAGTGTGTGCTCTCTGGTGATTCTCTTTATTTTTTTAACAAATTTCAAAGCTTCCCCCCTAACAACAGTAGCATTCACTACTGTAGATCGTCCAGCACTGGTATTTGTTTCTAATATATGAGGTTTTTAACCAGATTTCTCTAAGCAAAGTGGGCAAAGTCATTTTGCTGAAGTCTTGCAGAGAGTGTTAGGGTAAGAATTTATATAGTTAACACGGCATCCAAGCAACACCATCTCCAAGTGGTGTTGATGCTGGCAGGCATTGCCTAGCTGAAGTTACAGAGACTGAGCACTCGTATTTGTACAAATTGCATTCATTACCAAGAACCCTCCAGTAGTGATAAGAGACTGGCTGTGTAGCATAGATTGGCTCCAAGATAAGTAGCCAGTCTATTGTGCAGCTCATGGTAATCTTCCTCCTCCCCGCCCCTAATAATAAATCTCGGGGCATTTTGGAATGCGTGGGGGTTGCTCATTCCAGTAGCCTGAATGTATAACTACTAAACATCATCATCTCCTACCAATTGTGCTTTCATAACCAAGTGAGGCAGCCGACTGAGATGGATAGGCTCAGATACAGTGTTCTGAACATGCAGATGCTTCCACTGTGTGCATTTCTTACTCCCTTAAAGGACAAATCACAGGTGATGACTTGGGTATAAGAGTTTCTTCCAGCTGTGTTTCAAGGTTAGAGCCCACTTGCAGTGATGGTTTTCTTCAAGAAGAGAAGTGAACATCTGGAGCTCAGGGGTTTGCAAGTGTGAATAAGAGCTGTGCACAACCTGGGGCTCTGCATACGAACTGTGGGTAGTACCTTCTTCGTAGTTATCTCGTCCTCTCTCAGTGCAAGTGTCTATGTAGTATTATTTCAGACATACTACAGACACAGACAGTTATTTGTCTTACTATAATAATATAGTTTTAAAGAAAGATAGAATTTTCTGGTTGCTTTGAAATAAACCATCAACTGGCAAGTGCTTGCTTTGTCTTTTAAAGTCTTCAACGTGCAAGAACTTCTGAATTGGTGGTTTTCAACATGTAAAGCTGAACGTCAGCAGGCTAGTTTTATGCAAGTTGGCAGTATAATCCAACCAGTTTGGTTAAAAACTTGCATTTCCATGAAATTCTAATTTTTTTTCTCTCTCCCTCTCCCATTTAGGGTTTCAATGGCAATGGAACTGCTTCTGGATCATCAGGTTTTAGCCTTACGAAACAGCTGCTCTGTCCAAGAATAACCCGTGTCTGTCTCAGGGACTTGATATTCTGCATGGAACAAGAGAGGGAGATGAAGCATTCTCTAACCTTGTACCGTGCTCTTCTGAAGTGATTTGAATTTTACATTTCACCTTGCTGTCTACTGCCAAAGAAAACACTGAAGCATTGTTGCACTGTCTTGAAATTCCTATTTCTGGAAAATGATCCGTTGTAAGGATAACTCTTGTTTACAGATAAACATTTTTATTAAATACCTAACTTAGCACCTGTAGGGTTTTTAATAATATTTGGCTTAAACCAGTCTGTAAACCAGTGAAAATACTCAGCTGCACATACAAGCACCTGACTACCTGCTTGCATTTAACTGTCTTGCAAGCTCTGAGGGCTTGATATGTGTCCCTAGTTTATGGATGTCGCTTGCTTCAGTACTCCAGAGTCTGCAACATCTGTTCTACGTGTTGTGCCTTCTTCTAATCCAACCTCATTTAGGGAAACAAATAACACTTTAAAGGCACTGCATAGCATGGCAACTGTATTTAATCATGAACCAGCAGTCAGTCAACATGCTAATGTATTGCCTACCTGACTCAGCATGTCCTTAAGTTTTCTGGTTTTAGAATTACTACTTGATGCTCGTTTGTGAAGAGCAAAGTCACAAGCTGAAAGAATGAGGGGTGCTTTCTCCAACCCCCCCGTTGCTTCAACTTCCCTCCTCCTTTCCTCTGAGAAAGTGACTGAGGGAAAGTGAACAAAATTAGTCATTCTTATGATTGAAGTACATCAGACAGTGTAGTTGAGCATACTTCGATGTTCAGGGAAAATTTGGAATTACTAAATTTCAATACAAGGAGTGGAAGAGCCTAAAAAGGAAGGATAAATGAAAGAAACGGTTTATCTAGATACAAAAAATACCATTGGACTTGAGTATTAGATGTAGAAAGAAATGAACAAAAGCAACCCGTGCTGACTGCAAAAGAAGGGAAAGCTTGGGATGCACTGAAACTTTGCAGCTGGAGTTTCTCTAAAGGAGAAGAGCAGTGTTTGCAAAGCACAGGATTCACTGCTTTATTTGAAATATTGCTTTAATACCTTAATGTGGTATAAAAGGGAAACTTCCCAAATAACAGGTATTTAGGCAGTTGTCTGGTTTCCATTGAGTGAGGAGGAGGACTCCAGATTATTAAGACTGCTAGAATAGATTCACAAACTTTCAACTTGCTGGTAAAGACTGCCTTGTGGTGAAAGGAAAACCTTCTGGGTCACCCTTTTCCACAGCCTCCAAACATTTTGCCTCCCATGACACAGTGCTATATAGCATGGCTGTTTCCCAGGACCGGGGGAAAGGCTCTGACTGTATTGAATGGCTTCCTGCTGAAACTTTTCTTTTAAGGACAAGCTTCCTATGGTTATTTGGCATGCTACTTCAAAACTTGAAGCAATGATTCAGACGCCCTCCACCGTCAGAACTACCGTAGATAGTTACCAAATTCAATAAGTTTTGAATAGGTTATGGGGTTTTTTGTTGGAACAGTAGTAAACAAATCTAGTAAACAAATGCTGTAAATTATTTATATATGTATATATAGCATATATATATATATATATATAAAAGAAAAGCAGTACTTTGAGTAAGCTATAGTTTGCAAGATATTGACCACATCAAGCAAAATTGTTTTGTATAATTAAATGCGTAGCTTTACTTTTTATGTAAAGTGCAGCATTTTCCATATTTGTGTACTATATCTTATTGATCAGATGTTTAAAATTATTTTAAATACTACATTAAAGCAATTATTTTATTAAAAATAATAAATTGATAACTTTGTTTCCTAACATGAGAAATTCAGCGTCTGAAGCTGTCATCACTATGACTAATGGTGTGGCTCTGAGAGCGAGCCTCAGCTATCAGCCCATCACAGTAATTGGCGTGGTTGCCTTATGTGATGTGTCAAGGATAAACAAATGTATTTTAAGGTTTTTAAACAGAACCAGGTGACGGAGCAAAGGATTACTTGAAGGGGGAGTGGGCAGGGAGAAAAAGCAACCTCTCATTTGTCTGATTTTCCCCAGTCGGTCAACATAGAGGCTGGGTTGTTTGGTTTTCTTTAACAGCTGGGTAGAGGTGAGTGCTTTGCATGTGTTCTGGGAAGTAAAGGAACAGACTTCAGCAACGTGCAGTGGAAGCATTGTCCTATTTTTAAATCAACTCATTAATTAAGTGCAGGTTGGAGAACAGAAGACGAACATCTGCATATTGGCCTGTCTCTTCATCATCTTTAAACCAATGTGATATTAAAATGAAAAATGTTGGAGAAAATAACTCAGCTGATAAATAGATAAAGTATGATAGATGATTCAAGTGTTTTTATGGCCTGCCTACGATGCAGATTGCATGCTTTCATCACTGCCATAGCAAATTATCTCTTTCACCAGTAGTTGCTCCCTGTGTGCTGCCTCTTCCCCTGCACACACACACACCCACCCCTCCCCTCCCACCACCCCCAAAACACACCCCAAAAATTTTAGCCTTTAAGGAGTAGCAGACATTTTCAGAAAGGTTTTTCAGCATGTCTTTAGGCCTAATTTCAGACAGGCCAGATATGGCCTTGGTACAAAGGTTAAAAATACTTGCCTTGCTCCCAGGGCTTCAGCCTGCTTCTGAGTCTTCTAAAGTGGCACTTAAGAGACACTTGGGCTTTCCTCAGCCACACCAGGAGTTAAAAGAGAGATGACCAGGGGTTCATTTCCTCCCTTTTCCCCAGTCTTGCTGCCCTTTATGGGAATACTAAAATCCCAGCTGTACGGTGATAAGGACAAACCCTTCCATCATGCTCCCTTGCCTCTTTGTTCTCGGCATGCTTGTGTTCAGGCTTGGGAACCTAGCAGCAGAGCTGTCTGTGCTACTGATGCTGCGAGGGATCTAAGGCTTGTTCTAGGCATTTTTTGCTGTCCAGGTAGCCTGCTAGCCTAGTGACTATTTCTGATGCACTGAGCTGTCTGGGAAACTATCCCAGACACTGAAGTGTTCAGGCTGTAGAGAAAACAGTATATATGGCTGTGGATGGAAAGCTGCTGTTGCTGCCTCTTGACTACTACTATCTTAGCGGCATAGGAGGCCAAGTTTTGTATGTTACGTGGTAAAAGGGGCCCTGTACTCTTTCTCCTCCAACACCTGCTTTTATCCCTTTATTGCCATTTTCAAGTCTTACCACTTAATCCAGCCCTTTGCACTGTCTTTGACTCCAGCTTTTCCCTTCCACCCTTGGCAAAGACTAGCTGGAGTGCACTAACATACCCTGCAGCTTTGTTTGTGGTTTAATGAGGAAGGTCATGGGGGCCTGTGAGAGTTTGCTAGATAATTCCTCAAAGCCATTGCACTCTCTTGGACACTTTGACACGAGTAGCTTAAGGCTCGTTTGCATCAAGTTGTTCTAGGCCCGCTTTCTTGTAGGCACCTGTGTCCTGCCATGTGAGTACACAGTGCTCTGCAAAAATGCTGTCAGCTGTTGTCCAGGTTCATTCTTCTGTTCTGTTCTTTGGTTTCCTCTTCATTTGTAATCACTAGGGTGAAGAAGGAAAGGCTAAAGCAAATGAGAATGTCTTGAACAGGCAGACAGTCCAAGCCATTGGATTTAGTGAAATGGGCTTGCTTCCAGCAACTTTTTGAATGAGAACTGCAGGGTTTCTGACGCAAGTGTTGCGCACACTTCCTCTGCATGTAGCACATGTGATGTCTACCCATACTTTGAGAACTGAATCCAGTCAATGTTATCCAAAGTCCCATGGCTGGAGCAGAGAACCACATTCTGCAGTGGAGGCTATACTCCTTTGATAAGTGCAAAATTGAGTGCCAAGACTTAAGAACATAATCCGCTGGACCTCTCTGTTTTGCCACTTTTGGTACTGGGCTTGTACAGTGTGTCAGTGGCTTGTCTCGCCCTCATCTGGTATAAAGGCTGCCTGTCCACAGGCCACGATGCCAGTATGTTGCTTGGTGCAGGCCTTTTGTAAGTTAGATGAGCAGCACCCCTTTTGGCTTTGTAACAGTTCAAAGGAATAAGCAAGAAACTATCCTTTCCTTACAGGTACATCAGTCCTTGTTCATACTACCTCTTCTTTCCTCTTCTACTGTAGACATGAACTGGTCACTCCTTGCCTGCTCTCTGCAGCTATCCTGGCATGTTAGCTGCTAACTTTGCTACCCAGTCTCTTCTCAGGATATCCTGCTTCACAGTTCACTGCTTGTCTCCAGGTATCCTGCTGCTGTGAAGGAGGATATTCATCCTGGAGTTGAAAGTTGAATGGCTCTGCTGGAGTCAAAGGAGGTGATGGTGGTGCAGGTCAGCTTATGTCAATCCCTGAGGCTGCTACTTTCTGTGCAGGGAGCAGATCCTGGCAGGAAATTTGTATTTCATGGTGGCCTTCTACCATGAAGTCCTACTTTAGTCGAGTTTTCTACAAGGTCCTTGCAGCAGTAGGTACTTCCCACCTTCCAAGTGATGTTTCCCCGATAGAGTCACCTAAAGTTCCTGCTGGAGACCCCATCAGTCAATCATCTGTTCTCTTTCTCAACTCCCATCTCAGAGTCCCACAGCTCTTCCTGTTATCTCCTCTTCAGTCTGTTTCTGTCTCAGAGGTAGGAAAGGGTATAGAGTCATGTCTTGTGTGATTCAGGTAGACATTGGGTGGTGTCAGAGCCTGCGGGGAGTGACCAGTACATGTTTCTCCAGAGCTCTGCCCATCAGTAGTTCACTGAAGGACTGTCAGCCCTGGGGCTGTGCCCTGGTGGGATAAAGGAAAGGTAGGGGGTCTTCTGTGTGGGTACTCAGCGGATTGGCAAAAAAGTTGTCTTCATCTCAGCAGCTTAGCATGCGTGCTGCTGCTCTGTAGGCATTACTTGAAGAACTGCAGTTACCAGTAAGCAAATACTCTCTAACAGATCACAGGGAATATTATTTTTAAGTCTATTTGGACTGAAAAATAATCTGACAGATCATCTGTATCTGTTTTTGAGAGCTAATTCATAATAGTATATTTCCCCAAGTTTCTTGAGATATTTACACTTCCACTTTGAAGTGTTTAGCATGATGGGGTTTATTATTTACAGTTATTTGAAGGTGTTTCTTATTTTTGTCCTTAGAATCTGGAAGGGAGGAGGGGAAGGGTTTTGTTCAAGTAATTATTTGTGAATATATATGTGCTCTCTGTGTATATGGATGGCTAAGTAACTTCTAAAAAGAAATACCCTGCTTCTTGTAAAGACTGAGTTATAACAGCTCCCAGGTGTGAAACTCCAGCAACCAGGAGAGAGGGAGGAAGGAGACAAATTTTTGAAGAGGCTGCAAGTTTTAATACATTAAAATCCTTTGATACCTTTGTGCAAATTGGGCAGAGAATAAAGACTCCCTTGAAGAGCTGATCAGTGGGACTTCTCAAGAAGGGAGGGCAGGAAAAAGAGAAGGCACTCGGAGGATCGAAGACAGAGCACGCTCCTCTCTCTGGGAGCTTCGGTGATACCTTTATGTACATTCTGGTAGAGGCTTTCATTTACAAAAATGACAGAAAAAGGCCTTTCTAGAAAAAAAAAATATCTGTTGAAGTAGGTGTGTATGTGTATGCAAGTTATGTATCTAATGAAGCAGACTTACTGAGGAAGAAATCCTAAAGTTGTTGCTTCCTGTTCAATGCAGTTTTCATTCTTAACTTCATGTCTCTTAAAATTGGAGAAATTCTTTGTAATCACCCCATCTCCCTTTGAAGGAGTGGCAAAAAGGATTATCGCCAGCTGCAGCCCCATGCTGCTGGCCCAGCCACAGAGCTGAGGCACTGTGGGATGTGGGATGGAGGGACATGTGCCATCCATGGGAGTCGGTGGCCTGACTGATACTGAAAAAGGCTGCAATGAGCAGAAGGTGTGTAGATGTAGTAGATACCAGAAGTTGTATAGCTACAGCATGGGCTGTTCAGCATCTTGGGGCTGAAGCAGTTTTCCCCTAGTGATGTGAATAAACCACAGTTGGAGGCTTACAGCGTTATGTGAGCATCCGCCTTGCATCGAGCAGACATGGTAACCAGGGTTGCACTACCTCTTGTCAGGGCCAGGGCTGCAGTTTTCTGCACCCTGACTTTCACCAGCTGATTCATTAGCCCTTTGCAGCACGGCTGGCCAGCGGCGCGAACTCAAACAGGCCTCATCTCACACAGCTCTCAGAATCTCTGCTTCTAATTTGAAAGCTTTAGCTGCCTTTATTACAGGGGAAAAAAATTGAAAGTGACCCAAACTTCAAGTACAGAGGGCATATATTAAAAGTAAGGTTAGTTTTGCCTTTGAAATTCCTCAGTTCTTAGAGACTGTTGGTGAGCGATGCCCCAGAGCTGGGGAGGATGGCTCCAGAAGGAGATCCCCTCGAGTGTGCAATCAGCCCTTCACAGCAGTCTGCTGGAGATGCTGAAGCAGAAATCAGTGTTTCGAGTTTTTTTTCCCATGCCATAAAGAAGAACCTGTGGGAAGGTTCTGCCTGTGTCCTTACACAAAACCAGGATATCCAGTAATTAGTGAGAGATACCTCTAGGGCAAGCTCAAATTTTGCAACACTTCCCAAGGCAGGGAGAATGCCCTGGGCTAGGGCAGTCTTGGGAAGAGAGTGAGTCAGGAGGCT